TGATGAGATGATTTATATGGTGCAACCAGAAAACTTTGTGTCAGGAGACCCAAAGAATATGGTTTGCAAATTAAGGAAATCCATCTATGGACTCAAGCAAGCTCCTCGTCAATGGTATCATAAGTTTCAACAAATAGTTATCTCGTTCGGTTTTGAGATGAACATTGTTGATGACTGTGTATATCACAAGTTCAGTGGGAGTAAGTATATTTTTCTGGTTCTGTATGTGGATGACATCTTGCTTGCCACTAATGATATAGGCATGTTGCACGAAACCAAGAGATTTCTATCAAAGAATTTTGAGATGAAAGATCTTGGGGACGCCTCTTTTATATTAGGGATCCAGATACATCGAGATCGCTCTCGGGGTATTCTTGGATTATCACAAAAGAGCTATATCGATAAGGTACTTAAAAGGTTTGGCATGCAAGATTGCAGACCAGGTGACACCCCTGTTGCTAAAGGAGACAAGTTTAGTCTCAATCAGTGCCCTAAAGGTAACCTTGAAATTCAGGAAATGCAGAAGATTCCTTATGCTTCGGCTGTAGGAAGTCTAATGTATGCTCAGGTATGTACGCGTCCGGATATTGCGTACATTGTTGGGATGTTAGGCAGATACTTAAGCAACCCTGGTATGGATCATTGGATAGCAGTCAAAAGGGTTATGAGGTATCTTCAGAAAACAAAAGATTACATGCTCACATACAGAAAATCAGAGAAATTAGAGGTCATTGGGTATTCGGACTCTGATTTTGCTGGATGCCAAGATAGCAGGAAGTCTACATCAGGCTACATTTATATGTTAGCAGGAGGAGCTATATCATGGAAAAGTGTCAAACAAACACTAGTAGCTTCCTCCACTATGGCAGCAGAATTTGTAGCTTGCTATGAGGCATCCAATCAGGGAATATGGCTGCGAAATTTTGTCACGGGACTGCGCATTTTGGAAAATGTTGAAAGACCACTAAGGTTATATTGTGACAATAAATCTGCAGTAATGTATTCCAATAACAACAGGAGCTCAACTAAGTCAAAACATATTGACATTAAGTTCCTGGTTGTGAAAGAAAGGGTACAGAGTGGACAGATATCCATAGAGCACATTGGGACAAACTCCATGATAGCTGATCCTCTTACTAAGGGATTGCCACCTAAGGTCTTTCATGAGCATACTGCTCATATGGGTGTGGTATTATTTGAGGATATTATGTTTTAGTGGGAGTTTGTATTTGTGGTGCTTTATGTTTGTTTGTATTGTCTGATCAGAATAAAGTTTTCAGTTAAGACACTCTGTTACATTATGTTTGGTTTTGACCTCACTAAGGAGGACCAGTTGAAAATAGACATGTACTGATCACATTGCATGTAATTTTCATGCTGCACATCCATGATTGATCTATGTCATTTGATTGTATTGGTATATGTGACCATTGATGGGTCGAGTCACGATAAATGTGACGAAGACCGCTTTGATCCTATATTGATATAGTCAATGGACGAGATTGTTCGGAAATACCTTTTCAGTGATAGCAATTTTTGAGCTCATAAGTTTATACACAATTTAAGGAATCATATGGTGCCCAAGTGGGAGATTGTTGGATTTAATCTAATAAATCTATTTGTGGGCACATATGATTAATCAATGTGTATTGCTATCTTTCAGGATAACCCACTAAAGTGATCAATTAAGTTGGGTTAATGGGTATTTAAATATAATCATGGGGTTATATGTGCAGATACCAGGTTGTAATTGTGATTTATTGAGGGGCTAAATTACAAAAGTACAACATCTATAAATAAGGGGTTATGGTCCCTAATCTAGGGTTACTACATTCTCTAATTCTCTTCACCCCCATCTAAGAGAGAAATTCGGCTAAAGAGAAAACCCTAAGGTTAGAAGATCCAAAACTCAAAATCAAGATCAAGCAATGGATTCAGGTATAAGCTTCCGCTCTTTTAGATCCTTGTTAATCTCTTTGAATTAATCATGGCTATATGGTTTTAGATCTAAAGTTTTATGATGTAGATCTAACAAAAAATTGATAGAAAGATTTTACTGTGAAGCTCTCTTTTGTCTCCCACAACCATTTTCTTTTATCTTCATTTTGCTCTATAGAAATGGAATTAAGCAAATTTATCAAAGAAAAAACTGGGAAACAAAAATCCCAGTTAACTGTCTCTTAAATTTGACAACCCATCTCCACATATTATTTTCTTTTTTCCTCATGCTACTAACAGTAGCAAAAGGAAAGGATGAAATAGCAAATAAAGATGGAAAAAGAGCTGCAAGAGTAAATGAGCCTACCCACTTAAAGATGGAAAAAGAGCTGCAAGAGTAAATGAGCCTACCCACTTGTCAAGCCAAAATAAAGTGTAATTTTCTTTTCCAACCTCCACTTGAGAGCTGCATAAAAAACTTTCAATATTAACAAAGAGATTCCTCCAAAAATGTGATAAAAGAACTCTCCTAGAGTATAAAAACTCTGTCCAACTCTTTTTTCCAAAATATTTATGAAAACTAATTTGTTTCCAAAGACTAGGACTTCCATCAAACCATTTCCAGATCCATTTTCCTAACAAAGCTCTATTCATGATCCTCAAATTTATGATTCCCAAGCCACCACAGTATTTAGGTCTACAAACCTCCTCCCATTTAACCAAGTTAGTATATCCTTTATGATCCAAGGACCCAATCCTTGAGAATCTTCTTCTCAACTTATCAATTTTATCAATGACCCATGAAGGAAAAAGAAAGAAAGATAACCAAAACATTGGCATAGAGGATAAGACTGAGTTAACTAAAACTAGTCTACCTCCTCTTGATAATGATTTACCTTTCCATAATGTTAATCTCCTCTCTATTTTTTCAACCAAAGGAAGCCATTCATCTTTTTTTAATTTGCCTGGCCTTAAAGGTACTCCAAGATAAGTGATAGGAAAACTGCCATTTTTACAATTCAACATAGTAGCCAAATTCTGCTGTAAAGATTCATTATCTTCAAGAGTAATAAGAACACTTTTACAATTCAACATAGTAGCCAAATTCTGCTGTAAAGATTCATTATCTTCAAGAGTAATAAGAACACTCTTGTTAAAATTTATTTTCAAACCAGATGCCAATTCAAAGCAATACAATATCAGTTTCAAAACTGTTAACTGTTTTCTTTTATTTTTACAAAAAATCAAAGTATCATCTGCATATTGCAAACAGATCACTTTATGATTCATGCTAACATGGCCTAAACCCTCAATAAGATGAGAATCAATTGCTAAAGATAGCATTCTAGTAAAAGAATCAGCCGCCAACACAAAGAGAAGTGGAGATAAAGGGTCTCCTTGACGAACACCACGTTTAGACATAATCAAACTACCAGGTTTACCATTGATATTTATAGCTGACATGCCTCCTTTTAAACACATTTTCACCCAATTAATCCATTTTTCTCCAAACTTTTTAGCTTTCAAAACGTCCAAAATAAATTCCCAGTCTAACATATCATAGGCTTTTGCAAAATCCAATTTTAGTAAAATTCCTCCTTTTTTATTATTCTGGAAGCAATCATCAATAATTTCTTGAGCTGCAGCCACCCCATTAGCAAATATCTGTTCTTAATGAAACCAGATTGCACTGGATCAATAAGCCATTCTAGCTTAGAATTCAGTCTATTCGTCAATACTTTAGTAATTATCTTGTAAATCATATTCAGAAGGCTGATAGGTCTATAATAATTGACAGTAAGAGCCTCATTTTTTTTGGAAGAAGAATAATATGAGCATAATTAAGTCTGTTGATTTCTAACTTGCCTTCGTAAAACTCCTCAGCCATCTAATCCTTAATTAGTTTAGCTACATTATCATGAAAACCAAAAGTCAACAAATAGAGAAATAGACGAGCGCAACGAAGCAAATGTATAAAAAACAATAAGATTTACAAAATTGCATACTCTACAGTACACAACATTTTCTTTTCTCTCTTCTGTTAGAATTTTAGGTAGTACGTCGATAGAGAGAGATAAATTTTTGGAGACGTTGTTTATTTATACCTTGATCTTCGGAGAATAGAGTTAGGTAATGAAGTACCTTAATTTGGTGTGATTATGGTTAGCTAATGAAAAACCTAGGTGTGCTAAACACTTGGTTTACTAGTAGAAGTAACGCTAGCACAAGTTTAATGATTCTTAATTTTTTTAATAAATGTTTAGAATAAATGTATAAGTTAAATTGCTTCTTAAACATAAAAGTTTGAAATTTTCTACTGTTTTCAGATAGAGAAAACTAGACGGATAGATTATTGGCTTGGGTCTTACAATCTATCACCTGAATGACCAAATACTCCTGAGCTAATGCTTTTTGAAGCATAAAGTGGTCTTCAGGAAACATAAATTGAAGGGTGCTTTAATAATTGAGGGACCAAATTGCAAGGCCCCTTATGATTTGAGAGACTTACAAGCAACTTTGAAAATTTTGAGGGGCTGATATGAAGTTATCGAAAAAAAAGGAATAACAACTAATAATCTTTTAAATATTTGGGATTTTAGATATAGTCCTTCACATCTTTGAAGTTGCATATTTGTCCCTAAAATCCTAGGAGTCTTGCAAACTTGCTCGTCCATAAGTTTTTCACTTAAAATTGCAAACTACCACTGGGTTAAATTTTAACCAAACATCCTCAATTACCAAATTACCCCTCAATTAGAGAATTATATAGATTTTAGAGTTATGACACTTGGGCAGCTAAAAATAAGTTAAGATGACTTCTCCAACAGCTAGAGGAGATGATCTTGATGCATTAGGGTTCTTTTAACCGGATAATAGATTTAAACGCGTTAAGAAATGAGTCCCTTAACTTATTGAAGGGTAAAACAGAAACTTCCCCAGAGGGACCAATGTGCAAGACCCCATCGGACTTGAGAGGCTAATAGGCAATTTCAAAGATTAGAGGGACTAATTTGAAATTATTGAAGATTTTTTCCCCCTATTAAAAGCGACATTCAGCATTCAGAAATTAAATTATTGAAGATTTGAGAGACTAATAGCAAGCACAATGACCCTTCAAAAATTAAAGTCCATCAGTAGTTTCTGCTCTCTTTTTCTTCCCCTCAAAGACCCAAAACGCGCTTTCAAATTCTCCAAGTTCTCCCAATATTCTAACCATCTTCTTCTCCAAGAAATCAAAAAAAATTTTAACTGCGACCGTGACGGTCTGCAGTCAACCAAGTCAATCAAGTCCTCCCTCATCCCGCAAATAAATTCATGAAAACCTGGTGTCTGATATGCTTTTATCATCTGAACCAAGTTGCATGTCACCACTTTAAGCAAATAATTCATGAAAACCTGGTGTCTGATACGCTTTTATCTTCTGAACCAAGTCGCATGTCACCACTTCAAGCATTTTAGAACTTGAAACTATTGTTTTGCTCACCTTGGCTGGAGCCAGAATCTGCAAGCAATCATGCAAGTACAATGACGTCCTTCGCCGTGAGAATCTGCATGTATCATCACCGAGTACGTACAAACTTATTTAATTGGGTATGTCGCAAAATATAGGAAGACATTTCAAGCCGCCGTACCGTGTGACTAAACAAATTCTCGACTCTGTAATAAAACACAATCAAACTTCAACAAATTATTACAAGTTTATTTATGCACGACAAGTGATGTACGGATAAAGCCTTATGTTATAGACTTGCAGATAATTGCCTCAGAGTACTCGCCAAAGGTGACATTTTCATTGGGCAGGGTCATCTGTAGCAGCAGAATATGGGATATTAGTATCTGTATAATTAAGGAAATGATGAGGATTTATCATGGGTGTTTTCTTTAGTTATAATAGTACAATAAAGAGGATTCTGGTAGAACCTTTATATCAGGATTGCTCATGTCCCCAAGCTTAAGATCTTCATCCCTGTCAAAATAATTGAATTGAGACGGTTCTATTCGAAGCGTGACTTATATCATATGTTTCAATGACATGTAGCTGTTGTTTGGTTCCTTGCAACTGTAATTATAAAGATGTTCAAATCCAGATTCTCTCCAATTAGGGTGAATTGGAAAGTATCCAATTACCCTGACCCTCATGGTCCAATCCAAATAAAGCCACGATTTTCATTAGGGTTATCTCCATATATACCCCTTAAATCATAGGTATTTGCAAAAATACCCCCAAGTCTTATTATTTACAAAACTACCCCCAAATCATCAACTTTGTGAAAAAAATACCACCTAAAATCAACAAATCATCAGCCTGGTGCTAAAATTTCGATTATTTTGTTGATGATTTTTACACTGCGATTATAAATTGGCTTATCAAAGTTGATGATTAATTGCTTTGAGGGTAAGTTTTCACTAAACTGATTATTTGAGGGGTATTTTTGTAAATATCCAGGGATTTAAGGGGTGTGTGTGTAGGTAGAGGCAAAGAGAGGGTTTGAGAAACTTAGTACCAAGCCTGAATTTTTGGTGCTTGTAGGGAGGTCGCTCATTCCTATCCACTGATTCAAGTATAAAGACCATATTCACATGAGTTGGATAATTAAAAAGTTATTATTTTCAAGTGGGAACTATTGAATGAGCCATTTTACTACTAAACACAAAGTTTGTGCTTGGTATCAAGTTCCTCCATTTTCTCATGTGTATATATATATATATATATATGTATATATATATATATATATATATATATATATATAGTATATATATATATAATGGAGAGTTCTAATAAAAACCTCATTAGCCTAAAAACTAAAACCTCCTTCATTCCATGGCCAGATTCAGTCAAACAGTCAACAGACACATGCATTAATTACCTCATTAAACACATGCATTAATTACATCAACGCCAGAGTGAATCCAGATTCACTACAGTGAACCCAGATTCGTTACCGTCAACAACGACGTCCTTCACTGCAGTGAATCCAGATTCACTACAGTGAATCCAGATTCATTACCTCAACGAACATATTTTTCATTGCAGTGAATCCAGATTCACTGCAGTGAATCCAGATTCATTACGCTCAACGAACACGTTTTTCACTACAGTGATTCAGATTTGTGTTCGTTGAGGTAATTAATGTTATATAATTAATCGTGTTAATTAATCGCATGTTCTGTTGACTGTTTGAACTGACTCCTAGCCATTGGATTCACTAGATCCATCACTAATGGATGATAATTGGTTGTGTGTTTAGGCTAAGGAGGTTTTTATTAGACCTCTCCATATATTATATATATATATAATATATATATAATATATATGTATATATATATAAGCGGAATATGTGTATGCTTGGTACTACGTCAAACTTAGTGTTTGGTAATGAGGTGGCTCATTATCATCCACTTATTTAAAGGGGACCACATTCACATAGGTGCACATGAGTTGGATAATTAGTGAGTGGTTATTTTCAAATGGGGACCATTTGAATTAGTGGATGAGAATGAGACACATCGCTACTAAGCACCAAGTTTATGCCTAGTACCAAGCGTATGATCTCTCTCTCTCTCTCTCTCTCTCTCTCTCTCTCTCTCTCTCTTTTACACACATACACACACCCTTTTTTATCATCTTGAAAACCACTATTTCCTTGAAAACACTATTGCATGGAAATCCTACATGGCTTTATCTTATCCCTTGAAATTTGAATGGATGGTGCCGTTTTGGGTAATTAGACTCTCTTAATTACCATAGAATCGGAGTTGTAAATTAAACTCCATTACAACCCGAACATGTTACACTTATATTACGCCCAAACTGTGTCCAACTGGAGGGTAACTGCAAACACATTTATTGGTAGTAATGAAACAAAAAACTGCAACAAACCCAAAATGACAACTGCAGTTGCAATTGCTACAGTTGTATGAACCAAAAAACCCCTAGAGGCAAATACTATCAAATATCCCAATAAGCCGGTGAAGTGTACAAGAAAAAATAATTATACTGCTAACTTGAACCATATAAATCATTAACTTTCTGTAATTACCAGTCCGGTTGCATAAACATTGCGAAACTTGCACGTGCCACACCTGCTGCCTCCTCCAAGCTAGGTGCCTAGCAGGAAAATCACAAGGCACAAGAAGCAATAAGCATAATAAGCTATGGAAAGAAAAAGGAAGCAATGTCTAAGAGACGTGTCTTCCATTAATATAGCTATGATCTATTTCATTGAACAATGTATGTCCCAATTATAAAGCACGAATCTCAAAGCAAAATCAACGGATAAAAAAGTTGGTGGACGAAAGTTTCTATCTAGTTTAGTTTATTCTAGCTTTACTCTAAATGTGTGTTGTGTATAGTTGGAATAAACTTAGTGGATTGAGTGCTTTGTTCACCAATTGTTTTATCCATTATTGGATTTGATTTGAGACTTGTGTTGTATGTGTACCACACACCAATAGGAATCTCAAAGTAGAATCAAGGGATAAAGTTGTTGGTGGACAAAGCCCTCCGTTACCTAGGAAGGGAAGGACGGAGGGAAATACTTTAGTTTATAATCACAGACAAAACATTTAATAACAGAACTCAGTTTATCAGTAGATATAAGTCCATTAATGTCGTTGCTGCTCCGTTCATTATACAATCAAAAAATTGGTGTTGACATACTATAATCCAAGGTTCTCAATTTTCTTCTCTTCTAAACTGTTTAGCTTGCCTTTTGTTGAAGTTAATCCTAATTCTAAAAGGATTTGAGCTAGTTATCTCTAGAAATTATATTCATACTAGAATTCTATTATGGTATATTTTGTAAAGTCTTTAAATAGGCATTCATGCATCCTTGTACCTAAGAAGAAAAAAAAGAGAAAGTGGCTAAGTACTGTAGCTACAGTAACCAAGAGTTTAGAAGAGTTTTTTTTTATTTGTTTTTCCCACTAAATCTCTACTCATACATATTATACTTCTATTTGCTTTGCGGTTGATTGCTCCAATAGTGGTATCAGAGCCATAAACAACCTAAACGGGACGACGTCGCCTTCTATTCCTATATTGGATGAGAATTATTATCACCGGTGGAGAGTGCAGATGAAGGTATTGTTTGAATATCAAGATATATTGGGTATCATAGAGAACGGAATTGCCGATCTCGCAGATAACGCAAGTGAAGCCAAGAAGAAAGCCCACCATGAGATCAAGAAGGATCGAAAAGCGTTATTCTACATCCATCAAGGAGTGAATGATTCAGTTTTTGAGAAGATCGACGAAGCAACTACAGCAAAGCAAGCATGGGATACTTTGGGGACATCGTACCATGGAGTTGAAAAGGTAAAAAAGTTAGGATTCAAACGTTGAGACGTTAATTTAAAATTTTTCGGAGAGGAATCCTCTGAAAGTGTTGCAGATTATGTGACTCGGAGTACTTGCTTTGACAAATTAAATAAAAATAAATAGGGAGAAGATTACAGATTTAGCAATTATAGAGATGATATTGCGATCTCTTACAACAAAATTTGATCATATCATGATGGCAATCGAAGAATCGAAGGATTTGTCCAAGATGACAGTTGATGAGTTGATGGGTACCTTGCAAATTCACGAGCAACACATGAACGAGAGGTCAACCAAAAAGCCCCTTGAGAAAGCTTTTCAAAGTCAAGTTTTTATAAAAAATAACAAAGGAGCGCAGTACGAAAGATACCAGCAAGGAGGAAATTCCCATGGCAGAGGACGAGAGTACGAGAACTGCAATAACCGAGGACGTGAATACTACAATAGTCAATGACTTGGCAGTTATAACAACAATCAAAGAGATGACGACAATCAGAAAAGTAATTATCAATCAAATTCAAATTATCGAGGTCTAGGTCGAGGCTTTGGACGTGGTAGAGGAAATTTTAATAAATCAAATAGTGATGTTACATATGCCACAGATATGGCCACTATGCAAAGGAGTGTAAGTATCAAGATAATTCCCAATCCGAAGAAGAAGTACGATTTGCACAAGAAAGAGGTGATGAAGACAACCACACTTTATTGATGGTCACGACAGCCGGTGAAGAATCAAACTACAACACATGGTTTCTTGACACTGGGTGTTCTAATCACATGTGCGGAAAGGCATTGTTCGTGAACCTAGATGAGTCGATGCGGTCTAGAGTCAAGTTTATCAATGACAATACTATTCCAGTGATGAGAAAATGGCCAGTTCTCATCAAGCTAAAGAACGAAGACCACAAGTTTATTTTCGATGTATTCTGTGTCGAATATAAAGAACATTTTACTCAGTATGGGCCAACTTCTTAAAAAGGGGTATGATCTGCGTTTCTCTGGTAATCAAGTCCTGATCTTTGATACAAGAGGTGTATTTATCCTTAAAGCCCCTATGATAAATAATCGTATGTTTTGAGTTGGCATCCAGAATGATGTTTATTATTGCTTCAATGCTATTATGAAAGATAAGTCTTGGTTATAGCATCTTTAGTTTGGACATCTGAATTTTCGCAGTCTGAAATTGCTTGTTCAAAGAAATTTGGTGAGAGGTTTGCCCGTTATAGATCATCCCGAAAAGTTGTGTGAATGTTATATTCTTGAAAAACAACATAGATCATCCTTTGGTATTAAAAATACTTGGTGTGCAAAGAAGCCTCTTGAGCTCATTCATTCAGATGTGTGCGGTCCTATGAACACTATATCCAATGACAATAATCGATACTTTCTTATTTTTATTGATGATTTCACAAGAAAAATGTGGATCTACTTTTTACAGCAAAAATCTAAAGTCCTTGATTATTTTAAGAGCTTTAAAGTCATAGTTGAGAAGGAAAGTAATTACTTTATTAATGTGCTACGAAAAGATGGAGGAGGTGAATATACTTCTAATGAATTCGATAAGTATTGTGCAGAAGAAGGAATAAAACGTGATGTCACTTTTTCCTACACACCTCAACATAACGGCGTCGCTGAACGGAAAAATTGGATGATACTTGACATGACAAGAAACATGCTAACGGCCAAAAGTATGCCTAATTATTTTTAGGGTGAAGCTGTCTCGTGCACTATATACTTGTTCAACAGGTCACCAACAAAGCGCGTTGATAATCTTACTCCTGAAGAGGCGTGGACTGGTTATAAGCCAAGTGTAAGACATCTCAAAGTGTGTGGCCCTATTGCTTATGCTCATATTCCAGCAGAAAGAAGAAAGAAACTTGATGACAGAAACGAGAAGATAGTTTTTATTAGCTACAAGTCCAGGGGCTACAAACTCTACAATCCTACTATAAAGAATGTGATTGTAAGCAGAGATGTTATGTTTGCTGAAGAAGAAGCTTGGAATTGGGATCTAGAAGCGCAAAATGATTCACGACATACTCCCCTTGATATTCTTAACGACGGTGTTCCTGTTGCAACTGAAGAAGCATCACCGGCCAATGTTCCTGAAGCTCTAACCCCGTAAGTTCCATTAGAAATTGAAAGACCAAGAAGAAATCGCCAACCATCAGTTCTTTTGAAAGACTATGAAATAACTCCAAATGATTATGTTGATGCAGATGGAGATATAGTGCACTTAATGTTTACAGATTGTGAGCTAGTTATGTTTGAAGAGGCTACTCAAGATCCTAAGTGGATAAATGCAATGAAAGAAGAGATAAAGACGATTGAGAAGAATGACATGTAGGAGCTTATCAATATCCCGTAAGGACATAAAGCAATCGATGTGAAGTGGGTTTTCAAAACAAAGATTAAAGCGAACGGCGAGATTGAGCGGCATAAAGCAAGATTAGTGGCGAAAGGCTATGAGCAAAGGCTTGGTTATGATTACCAAAAGGTATTTTCCCTGTTGCTAGAATTGAAACTGTTGGACTAATAATTGCGGCTGCACAGAAGCATTGGAATATTCATCAGATAGACGTGAAGTCAGCTTTTCTTAATGGGTCACTTAAAGAAGTTTTCATGAAGCAGCACCTCGATTTGGGAAGAAAGGGTACGAACATAAAGTATACAAGTTAAAGAAAACCTTGTACAGGCTAAAGCAGACGCCGCGAGCATGGAACAAAAGAATTAATTCTTTTTTTCAAGAAAGTGAATTTCAGAAGTGTCCCTCCGAGCATGCCTTATATGTAAAGATAAACAACTCTGGTAATATATTACTATTATGCATTTATATTGATGACTTAATTTTTACGGACAATAATATTAGTATATTCAAGATTTTAAAAAGTCGATGATACATGAATTTGAGATGATAGATCTTGGCTTGATAACTTATTTTCTCGGCATTGAGATAGTTTAAGGAGATGATGGGATTTTCATATGTCAAATGAGGTATTGTGCAGAGTTGTTGAAGAGATTTCAGATGTTTGATTACAATCCTCTTAGAATTTCTTTGGAGGTTGGTACTAAATTATCTCGAGAAGGTGATGGTGCACAAGTTGATCCTACCTATTTCAAGCAAATTGTTGGGAGTTTAAAATATCTCACATGAATAAGACCAGATATAGCCTATGAAGTTAGTTTAATAAGTAGATATTTGGAGGTCCCTTGTCAATCTCATTTACAAGTTGCAAAGAGAATTATGCAGTATCTAAAGGAGACTTATGATCATGATTTGTTTTATTCTTCATCTAACAAGTGTGATGTTGTAGGCTATTCTGATAGTGATTGGAGTGAAGATCATGATGATTGTAAAAGTACTTCTGGCTATTTCTTCAATTTTGACACCACTGCATTTTCATGGTCGTCAAAGTAGTCTATTGTTGCACTCTCAACTTGTGAAGCGGAGTATGTAGCAGCTGCGTCGAGTGCTTGTCAAGCAATTTGGTTGTGTAATGTGTTAAGTCAGATTCATATTCAAGTTGAAGGTCCTACAAAGATTTATGTTGACAAGAAGTCCGCAATTGATTTGGTGAAGAATCTAGTCACTCATGGAAGGAGCAAACATATTCATACTCGTTACCACTCTTTACGAGACAATATTGAGAAGAACGAGATCGTGTTGATTAATCGCAAGTCTGAAGATCAAGTTGCGGACATCCTCACGAAAGCTTTGAAGTTTGAAGCATTTGTCAAGTTGAAGCACATGATGAGAATGAAGACCGAATGAAGACCTTATAGAATTAGGATTAACGAGGGATGTTGAACTTAATCCTAATTCAAAAACGATTTGCGTTAGTTAGCTCTAGGAATTATAGTTAAACTAGAGTTTTATTATGAAACACTTTGTAAACCCTTCAAATAGGCATTCATGCATTCTTGTACCTAAGGGGGGAAAAAGAGGAAAAAGGAGCCGTGCACTGTAGCTACAGTAACTGAGAATTAACAAGAATTAATCTCTATTCATACATATTATACTTCTATTTACTTTGCCGTTGATTGTTCCAACACCCTTGGGGTCTGGCTTAGTAGTAAAACCTGGGATTCCATCATGAGACAGATTCAAGTCTAAGCTACAGCATGTCCTCGAAAAAACAACTGCTTGTGAAGAAATCCCAAAAAAGAAACTAAAAGAAGTCATGTTACTACTCCAATATGCAACAGATCGAGTACCATACTTACAAACACATGACAATCACATAGAAACTAAAAAATGACTTTATCAAATTCTTGTATGAACACTATAAGTAACTGAGCAAATTCCTAAAATTATACTCCTTGCAGCTATAATTCTTGTATGAAAACATTATTTCCGACTTAATGAATCAGAGGAACAGCAGGCTAAGATAATAGCAGTAGCTTACAAAATATATTGCAATCAGAATTTACTAACGAGAAAGATTGATCTTAGAGCAGGACAAGGGAATCAGATGACAATGATCAAAAGAAAAACGATGAAAAAAAGGAAATGGTACAACAGAAGGATGAAAATGGAGAGAGACATTTTGCTAACAAACCCAGAGGAGGTTTCTTGAATCTTGCAAAGTGCATTAACTTCTTTTAGAGTTCTCAGGTAAATGTGGAGAAATTATGAGACATACCCTCACACAATGTGGAGTAGCACAAAGTCGGCGTCCTGAAATGATTTCGAGCGTATCACCAATTTGGTATGCCAATTCATCCTCTCCAAAGACAACCTAACACATCAAAATGAAAAACATTATTGCACACAAAAAAGCCCATCATTTTGGAACACAAACGAAATATGGGATGAGATAAAAAGCCAGAATATTAGATATCTGAGAATATGATATGGTCAGAATACTGGAAACATCCTTACACATAAGCACATTCCTACAATTTATACAAAAACAATAATCTTCGTGGGAGCACGTCTAGAGGGAAATCATAAAGCAATTATCCATTGTAAAGAAAATGAATTTATCACACAGTTAGAAGTGGCTATTTAGATAAAATATGTTTTAGATGTTTGAAATGTCTCTAAATTGAAGCCCATGCATAAGGAAACATGTGTAGGAAAGAGATAAATTGTTTGCCATGGTACTGAGTGTTGAAAAAATTCGGGCCTGATAAAGCAGAGTCGCAGTTAATATTAGTGCGAAAATAATAAAATTGGACACACAGATTTTTACGTAAAAAATCCCATAAATAAATTTGAGGTAAAAACCACGGATAAGAGTAGAATAATCCACTATGAGGAAAATTTTAGAGTTACAATCTCTCTTATACAAGGAGAAACTCTCTATTTTTCTCTCACTTTGAAGTTTGGAGATTGGATTGGTTTTTATTGTTGCAAAATTCTGATCAACTCTAACCCTATTTATAGACAGCTCTGATCACCTTTTTCCTTTTTTTATTATTTTTTCGTTTTTCAACATTGGTGCCTAAAACCAAATTCAGTGCCTTACACACTAATTGATAGTGGTGGCTGTCTTTTGCCCAAAGATGGATGTCTCTTTTTTACTATTTTCCACTTGAAGATGTGATTGAGTATCAATTATATCTTCACCTTATTTCTTTCTATCTTGTCATCTTCATGTTGCTCATGTTTCCATCAGACCACAAGAAAATCGACACCAAACAAATTTGTCAATATTGACTGTCTTCGTCAAAAAATCTGCTAGGTTGTATTTGATGTAAATTTTTTGCATATTCATTATTCTTTTTTCCACTTCTCATGAATAAAGTGGTATTGAACTCGAATGTGTTTTCTTTTTGAATAAAAACGTAAATTTCTTGCTAAATGCAAAACATCTGACTGTCATAAAATAGAAAAATCTTCTTTTGTTCACGCCCGAGTTCCTCTAATACCATTTTTAACCATACTGCCTCTTTACTAGCTTGTGTCACTACTACCTATTCTGCTTCTGTTGTTGATGTACCCACTACCGACTGTAGTTTGAAACCCAACTTACAGCTCCGCCAGCAAGTACAAACACATAGGTTGTGGTCACGATCACCTGCAAAATCAGAATTAACATATTCACTGACACTAAAATCTAATCCCCCATAACATAATACAACATCTGAGATCCCCTTAATATATATTAGAATCTTCTTTATAGCATTCCAATACTCTTTACATGATTCGCCATATATCAACTGACTACCCCTACTGCTTGTGCAATGTCTGGTCTTGTATAAATCATAGCGAACATTAAACTTCCCCTGCTGATGCATATAGTACCCAGAACATCTTCATCCTCTCTTCTTCACTGCTAGGACTCATACTGGAGAATAACTTAAAACTAATAGGAAGTGGTGCAGAAATTTGACTAACAATCTTACATATTGAAGTGTAATAAGATTTTTTTCAAATAATTCTTCTAAAAAAGCTAAATCTTTCTGTTAATTATGTATCAGTGAATTTGTATCACTAGAATCTTATTTGCAAATCCTAAATCCTTCATTTTAAATTCTCTAGCCAATTGTGCCAACAATTCTTTGATATGATCTTTGTTGGGGCCTGCAACCAACATGTCGTCAACATACAACAATAAGATAACAAAATTATTTTCACTAAACCTCTTAAAATATGCACAAGGGTCTGAATAAAGTCTGTTGTATTCAAGGCTCATGATGAATGAATCAAATCTCTTGTACCAACATATTGACGATCATTTTAAACAGTACAAAGATTTGTTTAACCTGTAAACCAAGTTCTCTTTTTTTTCTTCAAAACGTTTTGGTTGGAGCATATAAACTTTTTCTTTAAGATCTCCATCAAGAAATGTTATTTTCACATCTAGCTACTCTAGATGTAAATCAAATATTAGACTGTTGTAAGTCGAACTACAGAAGAAAATATCTCATTAAAGTCAATACTTCTTCGTGAGCATATCCTTTTACCACCAGTCTAGCACGATGTCCCTCCACTTGATTGTCGCTATTGCACTTGATCTTAGAAACTCATTTATTTCCAATAGTCTTTATTCATTGTGGTAGGGACACAAGTACCCAAGTCTTATTCTTATGAAGAGCTTCAATTTCTTCCTACATTACTGCCATCAAAAAATGCTTCTGTGCTATTTATAGTTTCATAAAAAGTTAATGGCTCTCCATCCTCTGTTAGAAGACAGTTTGCAAAATTATTCTCTGTAACATACTCCGAGTGCCAAGTCGGTGGTCTTTTCTCACGAGTTGACCTTTAAATTTCTGGAGCCTCGGACTCAATTGGTTCTTGTACATCATGCTTCGATATTGCTTCAGAAGAATTTGGATCATTTTTAACCTGAATAGCTACAGTCTCTTAGTCCTTCCTTGAATTGTTTTCTTTCTCTTCTCTTTGTAGTTGGTTCTATGTAGAGATAATATCTCTACTGATGATAACCTTACGGGTTATGAGATTTCACTAGCGATACCCTTTTACTCCGTCAGCATACCACAAGAATATGCATTTCCAAAATTTTGAATCCAGCTTTGTAATTTTTTAGGTATTGTACATTACATACACTGGACTTTCAAATATATGAAGGTTTGAAGAATCAGTTGGCTTGTTAGTCCATATCTTCATCGGTGTCTTTAACCAAACTGTAGTTGATAGACGATTTACCACATAACAGGCCGTTTTTATTACTTCTGTCCAAAAAACTTTATCCAGATCAGTACTAACATTGCTCCTGTTCTTTCCAACAGACTTCTGTTCATCCGCTCAACCACTCTATTTTGTTGAGTACATACAGTATTAAACTGTCTTTTGATACCTTGCTTGCAGAATATAAGAAATTCACTATCTGCATATTCTCCTCCATTATTTGTCCTCAAGCACTTGATCTTCTTTCCAAATTCAACCTCGACTTGCGCTTTGTAAGCTTGAAAGACTGGGAACACATTTTCCTTCTTCTTGATAGGGTACACTCAACATCTAGAGTAATCATTAATATAGGAAACAAAGTACTTTGCTTTTCCCATAAATGTAACTAGTGCTTGCTATACATCAGAATGAACAAGTTCCAAAATAGTCTTGCTTTTAGAACTCGATGTGTTAAACTTCAACCGATGTTGCTTACTTATAACACAATACTCACAGAAGGGAAGAGTTATCGATTTGAGCTCAGTAAGCAACTTCTTATCAGAGAGAATTTTCAAGCTTCGTTCTGACATATGGCCTAGTTTATAATGTTATATCATGGTTTGTTTTTCTCCATAGCTAGTTGATGCCACACATGAATCGGCTTCCTGCAGGGTTTCTCCCTTAAGTATGTATAGATTTACAGTTATCTTTTATCTCTTTATTACGACAAGCGCCCCTCTAATGATTTTCATAATCCCATTTTATATATGGATCTTGCATCTGAGCTCATCCAATTGTCCTAAAGATAATAGATTCTTCTTCAAGTCTTTCACATGTCATACATATTGAATGATGCGTATTGTACCATCAAATATTTTAATTTTGATAGTGTCAATACCAGAAATTTTTAAGGCGTAATCATTGCCCATAAATATTGATCCTCCTGAGATAGGTTCATATTTGTGGAACCATTCTTTCCAAGAGGTCATGTGCCAGGTAGCTGCTAAATCTAGAAATTAGACATCAACAAATCTCTTTCTTTCTTCATCAATAGTTGTTGCTCTGTTGTATAAAATTTCACCATCGTCTAATGCGCTTACAACACATCATTAAGATGATAGCGTATTTAAATCGCATCCTTAAGATGTCGGTGTCTCTGAAGACTTTTTATCACTACTCGTCTTATCGTGCCAACACTCCAATTTCACGCGTCCCCTTTTTCACAATTGTAACATTTAAAATTCTTCTTACTTTTTGATTTTGATCTATCATGGATATAACTCCCACCGGAGCCATGTACCATTAATCTTTCTCTAGTCACCAACAAGGCCTTCACTTGTTGCGAACTTGTCTGCATGGCTTCCTTGTTCTTGCGCTAAATTTTTTCCTCCAAAATGATGGCTGCAATATCATCAAAGACTAGATAGTCCGTAAGGACTTATTTATTAAATTGATGATGAGCTGACCAAGTGATCGTACGAATCAGGTAGACTTTAAAGTAAAAATTATGCACGTTCATTCAACCAGTTGTATGCCCCAACGTTGTGAGTTGAGCATAGTGTGTTTAGTGTGTTGATTTGCTCGGTCATCGATATAGATTCCGCCGAGTGTAAAGTCTCATTTTTAAGAAGATTTTGTCACGCAAGGATTTGACCTCATATAGCTTTGTTAGAGTATCTCCGATCTCCTTTGCTGTTTTCTTCTCTGACAGCACCCCATCTGCTAATGCCAAATAAAAATTTACCATAGCATTCCTGTCCATCTTGTTCCACTTCTTATCATCTATGATGTCTTCCGTCGATGACCGCTAGACAATTATTTTTTCTCAAGATAGCATTTATCTTCAACTTTCATAGTGAGAAATTACTCTCGTTGAATTTCTCAATCTCGAACTTCGCCGCCATTGCTTTTATGCCAAGCTGCAACTTTTACTATTTCATGTGAATAGTAATCGTACTCGTGAACATGGTCTAATACCACTTGTTGGAAAAATTCGGGCCCGATAAAGCAGGGTCGCAGCTAATATTAGTGCGAAAATAATAAAATTGGACAGATTTTTACGTGGAAACCCCCCTAAATAAATATAGGGTAAAAACCACGGGCAAGAGCAGAAGGATCCACTATGAAGAAAATTTTGGAGTCACAATCTCTCTTATATAAGGAGAAAATCTCTCTATTTTTCTCACTTTGAAGTTTTGAGATTGGATTGGTTTTCGTTATTATAAAAAATTCTAGTCAAGTCTAATCCTATTTTTAGGCAGCTCTGATCACCTTTTTCCATTTATTATTATTATTGTTTTGTTTTCTCAACATCAGTGCCTAAAACCGAATTCGGTGCCTAACACACTAATTGATCGTGGTAGCTGTCACTTTCCCATAGGTGGCTGTCTCTCTCTCTTACACTAAGGTCAAACTTTAACAATTACAGAGATTTACCTCTTTACGTATTGGAAGATAGACAGTCTGATCCGAACTCATTTCAACACTCCAATTATTTTTTCTCATCATTTCTATGCATGCTAAGATTGTAATTTCTCAAAGTAATCAATATTTATGTATTCCAGAGACTAAATAAATCAACACAACTACATGCATCAGTTTAGAACAATTCACAAATTCAATTTCTTGATGACAGATTTCTTTTATGATGTTGACGTGCAAATCAACAAAACCACAATGCAAGCTACTAACTCCAGTGATAAGTAATACAGGACGAAGAAGAGGAAGACTACAACTTTTGACAAAGCTACTAGGGCTTTAGCATTTGAGGATATATTATATAAGGATGTAAATGCATTCATAAACACAAAACCTGGAGTTTAAAGAAACATGCGAATCAACTGAGTGTGCTATTTGAACATTCGCGAACACCAAGATAAAATTTGCATACTTAATAGAATTGAGTTTGAATATCTTTCCATTACTTGACTCAAATTTAAACACAAATTTGAATTCCAATCTGACTAAATCTGAATACTACACAGTATTGAATTCAGTTTGTTTCCACCCTACCTCTAACCATGCCACATTCTAATCCTACGAGATCAGACATAGTGGCAGGTGTTCATAGGGCTCGAACACAAGACCTAGGGTTTCAGAAACATGAGAATCAACCAAGTATACTATTCGTTAACACTTAGCCAACATCTGCATAGTTAATCAAATTGAATCGAATATATTTTCAATATTTGACTTGAATTTGAACACGAATTAGAATTTGCCAAATCTAACCTAACTCAAATTCGAATGCTCCAGTATTCAATTCGGCTCGTTTCCACCCCTACCTCTAACCATGCCACATTATGATCCTAAGATATCAGATAAAGTTGCACGTGTCCATTTCTGCTTATCTGGAGCACAAGATCAAACCCTAAGCCCAAACCCAGTTCTGATTTGATTGGAAAGAGTACCTGATAAAAAAGCAAGCTACCCAACAATATGTATTGTGCATCTGCACGCATGCCTCTTTCCACACTACGCATAAACCATAGCCTTTTCCTGTTAAACATTTGACAGGCAAATAACAGTTATGGTAGCAAACAATTGTAACTTAATTCTTTAAAAGCTCGACGCCTGCACTTGTACCAGATGATCACATTATCATCACCATTGGACTAGATTCAAGAAATATCATCAGAAACAATAGATGAGTGCTGAATCTGGAGAATTGCACACACAAAATCTGGACGTACATAGGAGTCAGCTTGCACTTGATTTCAATAACTCGGATCAACCAATCATTTCCCCAGTTTGAGGCTAATCCTTGCCTTAAAAAGATCTAGTTAGTCATGATAAATTTTATATTTTTCTGCACTAGTTAGTTTTCATGTAGATAGGTAGATCTTCCCCTCCTCAGAAATGGTTACGAGGTGGCAACTCTTATCCAAGTAAACACAAAATTCTGACGCTTCTCTATTTAGAGACATAGGCATAAATATACTTCGTTCTTTTAATGAAACATCATTTAACATATATTCTGTCATAAATTACTATTTCTATTTTTTGGAATTAGTTTAGTGTTTTCTACTATTTAATATTTATGGCCAGGATTTTACAGTTCAATGAATTTGGTGTCTCTAAAATGTTAAGCATGTAGCTATGACAGATGGATTTTCTTAAATATGTATTTAGTATTTGCCTTCATTGTCAGGAATCCACATGTCAGTTTGTCAGACCTGATTGACCAAAAAGTTATCCTTGAAGTCAATGTACATTCTAACATAAACTGAAAGTAGATATTTATTTATAGTGATTAGCTACAGGTATATCTCAATGCATCAGTTGTTACTCCAAACATTTGCCTCATCGAGGGGCTGCCCCTTAACAAGATTAGAGTTGTATTTGACCTATACCAGATAACAAGCACCATAGATGCTACATTTGAAGGGGGGAGACGTGGGGTGTGGTTCGCTAAGTTCAATCTTCTAGGCCATTATACTCTATCAAGGTGTGTTTATATTTAGTCAAGGTGGTATCATATCATATACTATATACTAAACAAAAGCCAAGTTGCAGACTTGGCATCTTCTTAGAGCTTCGTCTCTTTATCTTCCTATAATTAGTAATTAATAACTAAATTTTTATTAATAATTTAATTTTCTCTTTATTTCTCCTTTTTCCTCTCAATCCAACTTCTTAACTTGGAAAGTTTTACATATTGACATTTGTTCTTATTAAACTTTCAGATTCCAATGAAAAAAATTATTCATGGGTGGTCATTTTGTTTATGTAATTGTCAAATTATAATCTATTCTATATCTATATCCATATTATTATCACTGTCAAATTATAATGTTACCATAATATACGTCAACCCAACAAAACTTATAACCTATGATATGTTTTTGTCACCTTGCAACACATTTTTGTGTCAGCACAAATGGAACGCGACACAATTCAAAAGTGCAGGTAGAGCATGTGGAGAGTATCTTTCCACACATGTAACGATGTGTCGTGAAAGTCGCAACACATACATGCATCGAGAGTGGCGACACATATATGTGTTCAAGTCCCAAATTTTTATATTTTGAATTTTCCACTCATATATCAGAGGTTCTGATCCCACCAATCCATGTCTAATGGAAGCCCAGCTCACTTGCACATATCACCATTCTAATCAAAGCCCACTTACACATATCACCGAGTCCTAATCATAGCCCACCAAGTAACCTCAGTTTGAATGAATAATGCTCCTGTGACTTTGTTTCCCTATCCAGCTCCCCGTCCACATCAATTCAGCATCCAAATTTAAGCAACTTAATTTCCTTGCAGCTGAACAATGTGGGACTAATTTCCTACTAAGATACAGAGATGATTAATTTCCCATTAACGGAAGAATGAGGGACAAACATGACTAAGATGAAGAGAAAAATTAATTCCATAATATTATCTTTTAATGAATTGCAGCATGAGCGCACTTGGAACTTATCCAATGAAATGATGCAAAGAAAAAAAGAGTATGCGCCCTAATTCCGAGTGTTTTTTAACTTACAATTTAACTGATTTCTTCATTGAAAATGGTTCCTTTAGGTGAATTTGCTTCAGTATGGAATTCAGCAGTTCGGCTTAACTCATGTAGGAAGTCGATAGCTAATTGTTACACACAGGCAACCTTTCTTGTAACACAATGCATTCAACACTGACTACCTTTAGAAAATAGTTGTCAGATAAGCCCAAAAAATGTTTTAGAGGCAGTTGCAGCCTTTTCCGGTACTGATGAAAAAAATTAATTGTTGCCAGCATGAAACATGAATAGAAACTAGAAAATTTTAATAGACACCACAGTTTTTGAATGAATGAATTATAAATAAATACTACATATGACTACAAGCATAATTATGTGAATAATGCAAGCAAAGGTGCACCAACACCAAACAAAAATCAATTGATTAAATGTGAACATATAAACCAGATCTTTAAACCAAAAAAAGTGATGTTAGAAAATCAATGAATCATGATATATTATCTCTTAGACCAGAACATTAAACCGACTCTCAAATAGTGCATGAAAACTACGTAACTAGAACTTGCGATGTCAGGACTCGCGACATTCTATTATTGAGTCGCGTTTGTTCAACATATTGCAACTCTAACCACCCACACTACTTATATGGAGAAATTTGTGTTGCAAGTTACCACTTTTGGTGTAGTGACCCACTAATATTATAATTACGTATTACCATAATTATATCCAACAATAATTTACAATAAGTCCCATGCATAGCATGGGCGACAACTAGTCTGTGAGGTGGTTTCTGATATATAATCTCACCTCACTTTGTTCAGGGTAATCATTGGCCTGACAAAATTATACCCTCCCTCGCTCCTTCCTCTCAGATGAAACAGGAACTGAGCGACTTACTGTTGCTCAAGAGCAGACAACTAGCCCTAATTTTTTACTCAAAGGTGCACAAAAACATTAAGGAGATCATGGATGTCTAGGGTTCAACTTCCATCCTCTCCACTTTAAAAAGGAGAGACATACACCCTCCCAGTAAGCATTACTCGCTGATGGGGTTAAGGAGCAGATATTAAGAGAGAAAAGTGGAAGAGGACAAAGAAGAAAAGAACAAAATATTTATGTACCTTTAGCGGGCTTAGCAATTTTAACAATTTTGACTATAGGATCTATATCGTCGTCACAGAGACAAGATGGTACATTTTTTTAACTCTCGTGCTGTTCGTTTGGAAATTTACGCATGCATAATTTGCTTAGCATATACAAATTGATGCTATCCATAGCCTTCCATTACTGTACACAAGATTTAGTGTATCTTTAAGTACTATAAAGAGGTATATTAGAAGATCAAGAAGGATATCTGCCTTTTTTTTTGCTAGTAAGTTGGATTCAAACTTAATTCGTTATACTTGGGCTACTTTTTGAGCCTTTATTCCCTTAAAACCAATAAACACGATATAAGTTACATAATACATAAAGCATACTGTGGAAGAAGCTATTTCAAACAGAAGTACGCTAAATGTATTTACACAGAAGATTGATAAGACATTGTGTTTAAAGAAACAAGGGAAACAGAACACAATACTTCAAAGAAAATCATAAGAAACTAAAAATATATATGTTTAAAGTAAAGCAAATCATAAGGTATCAGAACATTACTTTCACAATCTCAGAATTGCGCGCTTTTATATAAAGTCCAGCACTATCAGGGCATGCAACCACTTCACTATTTCTCGTAAACATACCGGAGGTAAGACCTGGAGACAGAATATTGAAAATTAGAGGGGAAAAAAAACATTAAAAACCATATTAAATTTAGATATGCCAGTAACAGACCTTTAAATAACATTATTTACACAAAAAGCACAAGTATATCTTAAGCAGCACATCTCTTCCACTGTAATGCTAACCATCAAGGGATCTGATTTAAGTCTAAAATGGTGTATTGTGAAAGAAAGTATGTCCTCTTTTCTGTAACCTTTGTCCTCTCCTAGAAAATCCTAGCGTTCCATTTCCGTGCAGCCTAACGTGCATGATTCCGAGTTGCTTTCTTTTCTTTTCTTTTTTTCTTTTCTTTTAGAATCTAGATAGTCAGAATGCCAGATATGTGATTAATGAGCCTAAAAACTTTGTCCTAGTTTCGGAAGTTTTCTTTACACCTAACAAATAATTTACACTAAATATTCATCTGTGTAATAACTGTTGCAAGTTATGGACATAGTTTGAAATTTCATTATTGAGAGTTCATGCTGACACTTCTTGGGAATGTTCAATAAAAACTTTCACTCTCTTCTACCCAATGCCAAGGCATGTCAGCCATATCCCCACAGCAGCTCTTTCCAAAGCATAACTCATCAACAATCCAGAAGCATTCTTGAAAAGGAAATAAGATAACGAGAGAATAAAGGAAAAAGAGGAAAAAGAATAAAATAAACACGGAGAAATAGGTGGAGTGTTATTATACTTACCACTTACCAGTCTAATTCCTCTTAACTTATTTGTTTTATTGCACTATAAATACACAGTCAGTTACCTTTCTGTCTGAAAAATTTGGTAAAGTCAGTTAACATATATGCAAACAACAGGGATTGGAAAAGAAACAACAATGTAATTTTCTTCTTCTTCCCTTTATTTTGGAGAAGATGAAGCTGACATGGATGAGTATGATGGACTGAGTTGTTATATTTTAATCATAAAGAAAGCCTTACTACTATAGATCACTTTTTTGGACAACCTGGACTATTAATTTTGATCCCCATCTTAAATGTAAGTATACCCCAAATCATATAATAATCGACCTAACCACTCATTAAATGGCAAAATAATTATTGGTTTTTTAATAGCTAGAACAAAAGATGATTAATTAACAATTTATATTTGAGGAGATTGAGATCCAGATGATGGTGTGCATTGACTAGAAGAATGATTCATTTATAGTTATAAGATGCCTGATCAATGATCATGCAGCTTGCTCAACATGTTACCTCACCTTCCGCTTACTCTTAAAAACTTAGTATGATTCTCATGGAGCTCTTAGAGACAAGATCCTATTAGTAAATCAATATTCTACAATCTTAACTGTCAACCTAAATGCAACAGGTGATCAAATAGAATTTAGCAGAGAATTTAGTTAAGAAAAACATATATATGAAAATATCAGTATGTGAGTTTGCATGTGATTTGTTTATTGGGCTGGCCCTGTTTGGAATAATATTCACTATCCCAAACACTCATTCATCCTTTGGTTAGCTGCTCAGTCAAGACTTTTAACTCAAGATAGGTTATGTCGGATGAGAATTCTCAACACTAGTCAATGTGTGTTGTGTTCAAGCCATCAGGAAACCTGTCACCATTTGTTTTTCAAATGTCAATTCTCAACTATTGTATGGAATATGGTGATGGATTGGATGAGTTTAGTTGGAAATCATGTATGTGGAGTAGTATCATACATTGGTTCAGCTTTAGGCTTAAAAGGAGAGGTTTTTTGAAAAATTTAAAGCGCCTGGTTCTTAGAGCTTCGGTGTATTTCATTCGGCAAGAGAGGAATCTTAGGATTTTCCAGGGAAAAGTAAGACAACCTGAGGTGTTGTTCAGAGCAATTAAGATTTTCATCTTCCCAAAAATTATGAATGAAAAATATCCTTTTCATATAAGAGAGAGAATTAGAGAGTTATAAGGATGTTGTATGTATGCACATTTGAGTGTGCATTTTTCTGTGAGTTGAGTTTTTTCAGTTTTGTTTGATTTTGAAGATGTATCCAAACTTCTCATTTGGTAAATGAATAAAAAAAAATTCATTGACCAAAAAAAAAGTCTGCATGTGATTTGCATTTTTGCTTGTGCATGGGATTGCCCTGGACTAGGAGTTAAACCCATTAAGTTACGTGTCTGCTCCTAATAAGTTAGATTTCTGCTTGTGAATGTGGCCTAACAACATAATATCTCTTTAGGGTATACTTCATAAAACATCAAAACTTTAGGGTGTTTCCCACCAAACCCCCTGAACAATGTTTTCCCAGCCAAAAAGGAAAAAAAGAGACCTCCCCGCTTCATAAAAAGGAAACTTCCAGCTTTTCCCAGAAACCCCCAAAATAATTAAAGGAGAGAAGAAGATGAGCCTTAGAGAAAATAATAAAAGAACAAAACTGCGCGGATAATACGGTCCTCCAATTGCAAGAGATACTTTTTCGGGGGTTTTCTAAAGGAAACTTAAAAGTTTTAGGGGGTTATTTGAGAAACTTTGGAGTTTTTGAGGTTTGTTGGAAAGGTTTTGGGAGTTTCGTAGGAAAAATAAAGTTCGGTGGATTTCGTAGGAAACGCCCAAAAGCTTTAGGGGGTTTTGTGAAATTTACCCTTTCTTTTATTCTATTCATCTATGATTCCTAAGCCATCTAGAAGTTCTTTATTCCCCACAAAAAAATACCCATCGTTGAACCAATCACTCAATTCTAAGTAATTAAAAAAAGACTCTGTCCTCACCCAGCAAGGCAGCCCCTGCTTCCAAAAGCGAAGATCGTGGGAGTCATATTGGAACCTTCCGACCATCTCTATCACTTACGTTGGGCTCCAAAACCAAAGTTTGATGACATCATCCGTGACATTGTGACATCATCAATTCAAACGTTCTACTCACCACATAGTCCTGATCCTGAGAAACTCTTCGTTCATGAGATCCAACATGAGATCCAATCATGTTCGACTGAGCCACCAAATTCTGAAGCTGATTCGACATCCACGGACTTCAATGGACCAACTTCTCTACAGATCAGAGAGTCGTTGTATCGTTTTGTCTTTAATTAGCATCAGAGCAAGTTAATCCCCACTACTTACTCTACACTAGGATTCCGCACTATAGATAGCTATAATAACCCCCAAATAAATAGGTAATTAAAAAATAATTAAAAAAACCAAATGTTTCACTGTTCCTCACCGCCTCTCCATGTCGATGTTTCTCACTGCCTCACAATAGGATAAAAGGGAGGAAAGGGGGAGAAATTAGGGGAAAAAAGAGAAGAAGAAGACAGTGAAAAGGAAAGTGGAAAGAGGAATATCATCCTAAATTCAAATCAAGCAAAGGTATAAATATTTCTCCTCCTTGTTTTTCATGGATTTTAAGAAGTTGATGGGGGCATTAGTTCTTGATTTATTAAAGAATTAAAAAAAAGGAATACATACCTAATCGCCGGCGGGGATCTCATCACCGACCCCCTATGTTTTAAATATCGGCCGATAATCGATATTATCGGCCGAGTTATCGGATTTTTAAGCTCTCCGCTAGGATAAGTTAGTTTTGTAATCGGTTATCGTTTTGGAGATATCGGCGAGTTATCGGCATTATCGGCACTTATCGGCCGATAAGTAAGGCTAAATTATCGGGATTATCGGCCAGACATTTTGAGTTAAGTTGTTGAGTTTTTAAAACCCGACCCGACCCGTTTTGTTAATAATATGAAACTTAAAACCCAAAACTTTGTGAATCCGACCTTCAAACCCTAATTTCGTCTCTGGCGGCTGCTCCTTTTCTCCTTGAGTGCTTCCTCCGTTATCTTCATCTCATGTTCTTTGTGCCTCTTCGTCACTCGCCTTCGTGAACTTCAACCTTGAATTTCGTCGCTCGCCTACCCTCTGTCAACCATGTTTTTTTTGTCCGGAAACATAACTATATACACAAGCTGTGAGCTTTCCTTCTCTTGTAATTCCTTCACACACGTACTTTCTCTTTTGAGTAATATCAGTTCTATAACTATTCTTTTATCATACTTTGCTTTTCTGTTTTTCCTGTAACAAAGACTTATATAACAAATTAGTGAATAAACTGTACATACTTTGCTTTTCTGTTTTGGTATATTTATATTTCATTAAGCATAGTTAGATTATATTTTTTAGTTGTTATATTATATATATATACCATCCAGTATATTGCTCCGATAAATACTACTTATCCCCGATATATCCCCGATTTTTGCTATCCGATAAGGATTTTGGCAGTCCGATAAATCCCCGATAACCGATATTTAAAACCTTGCCGACCCCTCATCGTCTGGGAGTCATTGCCGTCAAAAGGCTGCTTCGACAACAGAGCAGCAGGCGCGGCCAAATCTGAGGAGGCGCGGAGGAAAAAAAGAGAAAAGAAAATGAATGGAAAAAAAATGAGAAAGGGGGAACGAATGAAGAAGGGAACGAGGAGAGAGAATGGGAAAACTAAATTAAAATAACAAATTTCTTTAGACTCCTGAAAGTTTATTAGTTTGTTTATAGGTCCAAAAAATAAAAAGGAATGAAAATATTCATGTAGACCCCTGTTGCTTTATTAATTGCAACCAGATTCAAAAAATCCAAACTCAATTAGGAATTAAGCTCGAATAATTAAATGGAAACCCCTAAGTTGTGCCAGATATTAATAATAAGTTCAAAATTATTAGAATAATATCTTAGAAAATTATGGTAAATTACTAAAATTAGCAAGAAAGCCTACGTGTACCTTATTTATTGATAATTATTATTTGATTATACTTGAATATGATTGATTTTAAATTTTACAGTGATTATCCTATAATATGTACTTGTCCTGAATTAATATTAGTCTTATATATTTAATTATAGGATCAGGTTGATATCTGGAAAAGTAGGATTTTAAGGAAGCTATACTCATTGGAGGTGAGTTCATTTCTCACTAGTATTTTTATAATATAAAGTTTTATGAGTATTATAATTGGCGGCTTTTATGCTTGAAAAATAATTATTCTATTATTCTCAT